ACACACACACACACACACACACACACACACACACACACACACACACACATGCAGGCAGCACCAAATGGACAACTGGACGAAAAGACAAAAACAAACAACAACTAAGCAAAAGCCATGAAACTAGGAGAGAACAGTGGGGACAGGAGGAGTCAGAGATGAGAGAATGGGGGAAGGACTTGATCAAAACACAAAGGCATGTAGAAAAACAACAAAAGAGCAAGAGGTGCCATCATCAAACATGTTTAGTCACACATGTATGGAAGCCCTATTCAACAAGGGAGATCCCTAAATTATTCTGAGCAATGGGTTATCACTAGAAATATGTAATCTACGACAGGACTTCTTTAAGTAGAGTATCTATTTACGCTACCTAAGCTAGTAAATATAAACAAAACTCCACACTTCTGTACAATGCCATCTACCTCCTCCGCAAGACTGCGGAGCTTAGCATCCATGAATAGATGCTTTCCTCTAAACCCTTAAGTAGCCAGACTCAGCGCTAAGGTAGTTTTTGAGTCACATGCTTATAGGTATTTTCTCTCTGCTAACTTTTGAACACATAAGAAAACACTTAAATCACACAATTTGTAAATCAAGATAATTTTCTCTCTGCCAACCACTTGAGCAAACCATGCAGGCTAATGAAGTGAGGTTAAATATTACTCAACAAGGGTTGTGAGCACACAGCAGAATGAGGAGGAGAAAGATCCTTTCAACTTCAACCGTGGCCCTGAGGGGGCTTCTTCTGGGTGAAACCCCAGAAAGCTGACATTTCTGTAAAGCACAACTGGCTTAATTCCAGTAATGTCATATGTAATGAATTAAGGAATTAATAATATCCTCAAAGGAGTTTGGACAATTAGCAACACACTGGCTTCCGTGGCCATCTTCCTGACAACTCTCTACCAAGTTCCGTAGCTTATGCAAACCTAAACTGTCATTGAGCCCAGCAGCTCCATGAATCAGGCAGATTGAAGCCATGATCTGCAGTTCACAGATGAGGAAAATCAGCCTCCAGCATTAAAATTCACTTGTAAATGTAAATAAAAGTTGAGTCACTTGTATGGACGTCCAAAACGGAAAAGAAATCTAACCCCTTCACTTGGAACCTTCATTGCAAACAGCACCCTTCAAAGGGAGGAGAATCAAAAGCATCTAAGCAGACAGTAGGCCAGCATGATGGTACATACTGGCTACAAGGACCCTGCCCCAAAAAAGAAAGAAAACATCTAGGTTCCAGTAGTCCACTCCCAGAGTTTACATGCAGATTCCATAAATATCTGTGTGATAAGAGTCTAGATTGGAATTATCAAGTGCTTTCAAAAAATGTGGGTGGGTACTCAAGTACATTCTTATAATTTATTTGCTCACTTCTGCAACTCATACTCTCCTCTGGAATTTAATTTTTTCTCTCACAGGCCTGCTCTTACCCACAAAGGTCACCTATTTGGCTAACCATACTATGCAGCCACTGGAGACCCAAGTAATATACAAAGCAAACAATGTGGACCCTATACCATCAATCAGGGCACTAGTCCATTTAGCGTCTGGTAAATATAGTCTGGAATGTTGCTCACAATGGTATCTATTAACTGAATAAATAGTCAGTGACTCAAATTGATTTAGGTAATGCAATGACTCCACTTAAACAAAGAAGAATTAGCTACTCTGACCATTATGTCTTCCGGATGAAAAGGATCTTTTATAGTGAGACAATTATATACCGAGTAAGTTATAGACAGATATAATCAGTTTCCTCCTCAACGATCTACCCATAAAGCAATACCAGCCTCTTGCTTATTTACTAATTAAAAATAATATATATTACCGACGCTATCTTTAGATATCTAAACCGATAACCCCTTCCTTACTGGCTCATACCACAGAGGTGTCAGCTTGCAGGGATCAAATCTCACTTTGGACTAAGGACACAAACCTGTGACTATAGCCAGCAGGCCTGAAATACTTACTCACACAACAGGACACCATTTTCTAGAGAGGCTCGAAAATCTGTTGTTTCAAAATTCTTCTCAGTTACAGCCTGAAAGACAGATTTGGGTGTTAGTTAAATAGGGGTAAGAAACAGGGCAAATTTATAATTTTATTAGCTACTAAGCATTTAATCTTTAATCTGAATGATTTGCATGTAGCACCAAAAGCCGTTCTTCATAGGAAATTGTGTACTTGTCTGTGCTACAACTCTTACTATGAACAAACACACAGAAACAGCAAATGTTCCCTGAAGTTTAATCATTCTGTTGGCTATGAATTTCAAAAAGAGCAAGGGCATACAGGCTTGAAGGGAGGAAGGGAAAGGGGGAAATCATGTAATTATATTATAAACTCAAGAAATAAATACTTTTTAAAAACTAAAGTGAATTCCCAGTGTATTCTTAAAAAGAAACTAAAGACACTCCACTAAGAGTAAATATACACAATTATAATATAAACTGGACATAGCATTTACATATGTACATCATTGGTTTCGATTCCATCCTTATCTTCCTCATTTCATTAAAGAACTAAATAGCAGCCACCCCTACCCCTACCCCTACCCTTACCCCTACCCCTACCCCTACCCCTACCCCTACCCCTACCCCTACCCCTACCCCTACCCCCAGGCCCGTGTTCAGCAGCTGGCAGCAGGAATCCTTGTTCTACCTGCCATTCTGGAGGAAAATACAGTTTTTGGAATCATGAATTTGAAAGTCATGAATCTTGCATCCCAGGTCAGCTAAACTGGTCAGGCACATGATGGAGAAACGTTCACCACACTCCACCTAACCCGCTGTCGCTGCTGCCTTCTTTACAGTTCACCTGCAGCTCTTAATTCTGAGCTGTTAGGTGACAAAATCAGTCACCTATCTACGCAAAGTTAGCAGAGCAGAGCATGGTAGTATAGGTCTACACTGAGAGAGAGGAGAAAGAGAAAGAGAGAGATAGTGGGGAGAGGAGAGGAGAGGAGAGGAGAGGAGAGGAGAGGAGAGAGAGAGAGAGAGAGAGAGAGAGAGAGAGAGAGAGAGAGAGAGTCTGGCCAGGCTGTGATATCCTTAAACCTAGGAAGAAGGGGAGAGGATCCTCCCCACGTACAGCAATCACCTATAGTAGAACCAGACAACTGTGCATGAGCCTGGTGTCTCTGTTCCTGCTGGGAACACTGGGGTAAAGATTAACAATAAAAAACAAATAGCTCTTCCCTCTAGGAGCTCAGTCACATAAGTAAAGACATAAAAGCATAGCATTCTTCTTAGACAGAATGATGTACTCCTTAGAGAATTCTTTTGAGCGGCCCACCCAAGGATTAACTCAGATAACCTGTGCAACCAATTCCAGAATTCCCCCACAAACAGATCAGAAACAAACTCAAAATGAAGGTGGACCCACGTAAGGAAAGTACCGCCAACAGCTCATTCTTCAGGAATCTCCTATCGATAGTCAAAGAGCAAGGCCCAGAAATGCCTAACACAGTCAGAATCACCATCGCTAATGAAAGCAAACCCCTCAGAAGCACCGGCATAGGACAGCCATGCTACTCTCAAGCCAATCTAGATGGGAAGTGGAGGCCTAGAAGAAAGAAAAGCTGTGAGCTTCAAATACGAAGAGAGCAATAGAGAGTGACAGTCACCACAGTGCATGGGCCAGTACAGAGAGCAAAGTGTCCCAAGAAAAGAGAGAGAAGGGGCTCGAGTCACACATAGCTAAATTCAACCCCACTTCCACTACCCAAGAGCTATATGATCTTAGACATGTGAAACCGCCTCTCACGCAAGTCCACTCATCTAAAACAGGAAAACCAATCATCTGCCCACTCATGTGTAAAGGCGGAGATATTTTACAATATGGAATAACAGTAGCCAAAGAATGCACACCTTGTCCATGACATGATTCAATCCTGCATTTACCAAATTATTGGAGTGTCAGTACTCCAATAATTGGAGATCTAGCCAGATTGAATTATACCTAGAATGCTATTTAATAAAGTTGAGATTCTGAAATAGAAACCCCACCTAGCCAGGAGAGCTTATTTCAAAAGATGATCAAGATGGAGCTAGAAAATTGGCTCACTGGTTAAGGTGCACTAGCTGTCTTCTTGAGAAATTAGGTTCTATTCCCACCACCCACTCATAAACATCTCTAATGCCAGTGCCAGGGGTTCCAGTACCCTCTTCTGGCATCTTCAGGCACTGCACACACATGGTGGATGAACATGCACACAGAATTTTCCTAATGAACATAAAAAGTATTACAGAAAGGTAAAATTCTAGTATGATTTCAGGCTCTTTTCCTATGTCAAAATACTAATGTACTCAGTCTTCCCTAAATTCAAACGATGATAAAATCATACTTTATCTTATTCTACACTTATAAAAATATAGTCTGACCATATGAACATGTTGAAATTTTTCCATTTATTTGTATTTGTATGCACGTGTTTGTGTGTGTGTGTGTGTGTGTGTGTGTGTGTGTGTGTGTGTCCACTCAGATCAGAAGAGAGTGTCAGACAGTTAGACTCCTACAGTTAGACTTTCAGGTAATTATGAACTGACTGAGGTGGGTCCTGGGAATATAACTCAGGTTCCCTCAGAGAATATCAAGAGCTCTCAACTGCTGGGCCATGTCATGAGCCCCTAGTCAAAGATTTTAAATAATAATCTGTATGTTGAGGGGATAGAAATCTGGTAGGCTCAGTAACTAAAGAAGGCAAGCATCCCAAAAGCCAGTTTGTTTTGTGTATCAGAAATCTTAAATCTGGGGCTGGGCAGATAGCTCAGTGGGTAAAGGAGATTGCATCCAAGACTGATGACTTGAGTTTGATGCCTAGAACCCACATGGTAGAAAGAACCTACTCCCACAAGCTGTCCTCTAAGGTTTACATGCAGGCTGAGTATAGTATGCATGAAGAACATATGTCCCCCATCCCCAAACACACACACACAATCTCAGAAGTCTGAAGTCTGTACAGCCTCAGACCAAAGTGAGCAGACCTAGGGATTTACACTAAGATAAAAACACACAAGGACATAAATATTAGTTTTACAATATCATAAAATAAATGACAGCTGCAAGCATCTTAAATTGCCCTACAATAGGAGATTTGTTAGAACAGGAAAGGTGCAGATAGATACACCAGGAATGGACACAACATTTCAACCCATATAATAAAGGTAGATTTATCCCTTGCAAACAATCCTTAAAATGTTTTTCTATAATTCTATAAGAAAGCATCATTCAAACAGAACAGAAGTAGATCAACAACAATTATTCATAAGTGGTGGAATAAGAGCTATTTTAGGTTTTATTTGCTTTATAGCCTTTAACAGTCACAAGCATCTGTGTAATGAACAGACTGATTTTGGAAGAACAATCGTCAAAAGAAGTCAGACTCCATCAGGCATAGGCAAATTCCTGTGTTTCCTGCATGTCACAGAGGAAGGCAGAGGAAGGCACCAGTTGCTACAATGGACAGTTTCTCCTTATCTATGAGGCTCACACAGCATTAAAATCAGTCCTCCTCCTCCTCATCTTCATCATCATCTTCTTCCCATTTCACTAAGAAATGTGAGGCATAGAAGCTGAACTTTCCAGAAAAGCATCCCACACAACAGACTCTAAAACCCAACAGCAGCTCCTGGGCGTCCACTGAGAGAGTGACAAGTACATCAGATGGTGAGGTGGTGGGAAGATATAAACAAGTGAGTAATTCACTGTGTTCCAGCTACTTAGAGTTTAGAAGTCTAATGCACGTCACCATTATGCCTTCAAAATCAACCCCTAAGTGCTGAAAGTATAAATAGCAACTCAGATTTTTTTAAAGGTTTTAATCGTCCGACGTCAATGAGATGTATTGTCCTAACACAAATTGAGTGTGTGTGTGTATGCATACGTGTGTTCCTGTGTGTGTGTGTATATATGTATGTATGTATGAGAGAGAATAAAAATAAAACATTGATACTGGAAGATTTTATACAATGGGAATTCTTTTTGGATACTTTAACCTTCTCTAAGTAATTTATGACTATTAGAAAAGGCAATGGAAGTGCATGGCAGAGACAAGTAGATCTCCGAGTTCAAGGTCAGCCAGGTCTACAGAGTTTCAGGATAGTCAGGACTACATAAAGAAATCCTATCTTTAGAAAAAAAAATGGGGGGAAAAAAAGAAAGGAAAAGAAAGCTTGCATACTGTGTGTCTGTTATGTACTGGTTATCCCACCTCAGTAAGCCTAAGAAAATTGATTAACTTTTAAGCAGCAATTTGTACAACCACATAAAAGTAAAGTCAGTTATAACCCTTCCTGAAGAACTAAAGTGAGATGATACAAAACTCTGAGAGTTTTAAAACAAAGGATAGCTGAAATTTACAGTAAGAATTTCTTTCAGTACAAGAGGACACCTGAGCTGCATTCCTTAAAGTCACTTGCGACATCTCCAGGTGCCCAGACAAGGCCAGGTCAGGATTCTGACACCCATGAGCCACTCTGTCCCAACTCCTACCCCAGTACTACCTACCAATGACTGTAATACCGTTCCCAGTTTGTGCTCATCTGTGAAATGGAGACCAAAGGCATCTCTCTGTCCTGTGGAGTGAGGCTGAAAATTAAAGGAGATGACACACAGGACATTCACAGCACTCCCCTGGTTCAGAAGCAGTCCCAGATAGCTATCACTGCTGCTATCCAGCCAGAGAGCCTTCCAAAGTAGAGAAAAAGCTTTCTCATAGAAAATGGGTGTCTAATTTGCAAGATATTAATATACTATTCTTTACTTAAAGAAAGAATCTGACTCCAAAGCCACTAAATCAATTCCGTGTCTGGAAACACTGTAAAAATTATAATGATCTATAAAACACCTCATAGCATGGTGAAGGCAGTTTGTTTCTAAAAATTAAATTATACTTTCAAATGAGATCCCATCCTTACATTAGGACGAAAAATATTGGGAAGAAATCAGAGTTCTGAAAAAAAAAAAACTGCCTGGCAGTTTTAGTCGTTTGGGTCTTCAATGATTGTGAACCTTACTCATTAGTAAGC